GCTGTAATGCAAACAGCCAGGGGAGAGGCTGAGAACGGTGCTGGAGCAGCAAACGTGCCCAGGGCTCTGTCATGGGGAGGAATGTTTGAGAGCGAGGCATCTGAACCTGCTGCTCAGATTCCTGCAGCCAGCCCAGGATGCTGACATGAGTAAGGATTGACTGTGCCCGTGTTAATTTAAATTGATTGCTCGCTGCAGCGTGAGGCCCTCTCTCTTCCTTCCCTGCGTGTGGAGGCACCGCAGCACCAGTCACCTTTACAAGCCAGGCTGACACGGGAGAAAGAGGCTTAGGAGAAAACGAGCAGGTATTTTTTAATGAGGTGAGGAAACGGGGATTTCCCCTCTTTTCTAATCCAGAACCTGCCTGGCAGAAGAGAGAGGAGGAAGAGGAGACGGGGACAGGCTAGGCGAGCCCTGAGCTCCCACTGGATCTCCTTCTTGCTCTGCTACACACGAGTTGTGTTCTCCCTTGTCTCCTGCTCATGGACAAATCCCACGGGCACAGCATCGGAGGCCTCCTGCTTTCCAAAGGAGAAATAACTCAGGTGAACCACGAATTTACTCTGTGGGTGCTGTTTCCTGACCATTTTTTCTTTAATGTCAGCCTCTCTGAACCCCCTAATGTCATCGAGGCTTTAGGAAAGTGCCTCAAATCTGCAAGCAACATCATTTGCTAGGCTATCAGCGTTCCCCATCAACAATGAAACGAAAAACACAGCTTAACAGACAGCGAGGCTACAGCAGCTGGCAGTGCCACGCAAATCCAGCGCTCTTGCTGCTGAGTTTATTAGACATTTTATAGTCCTGGGAACTAAACATAATGGATCCCGTTCCCATATGCTGCATCAACATGAGCTGGGACTCCGGCGTGCCACTGATCTATGAGGCAGCAGTGAGTAAGACCCAGACACAAATACGAAAATGAATCAATCCTAAGCTGTTAAAGAGACACCACGAAGCACTTTCCAGTTTTCTGTTCTTGCTTTCTAATCTCCATCCTGCGAAATGCCCTCCCAAGGGCTCTTAAATACAACAGTTTGCCACAGACTTTGGGATCAGGTTAAGAGGAATTGCCCCCGTGGATCAGGGAAAATAGCTGAAATGTAGAGCTTATAACCCGCAGCAGGCACTTGTGAGCTCTACTCACCCCTCTGCAGCAAAAGCCTTTTTGGGGTTCCTCTCATTTTAGTGAGTGCTGTGTGAATATGTTCATGCAGGTTTTCCATGCAATATTCACTTTAGAGTTCACAAAGTTGTTCTCCTTGCATGAGTGGAAAACAAATTTTGATTTATTTCCAAGTATAGAAAACTGCAAATATCTACAGGCCAGAGAATAACTTTTACCTATTTTTATTTTTATTTTTTTAAAAAAGGAAAGGGGCTGTAGTCTGAACCTGAGCGATAGTGAGTTCTCTCCCACTCACTACTTTAGAAACTGTGATACCTTCTGGTTTTAGTATATGAAGGTGCCATGGCTGCTGCAGTCTCAAATCGATTGATATTGAACCTGCACCCAGTGCAGTCTCTTTTAGACATTTAAAATACATCATACTCAATACCAGCAAATCACTTTAAAGAAGCATGCAAAGAAAAAATCCTTAAAAACAGCAGCCACTCAGCTGGCACCTCCAAACGTGAAACGAAGACAAGAGGAAGATGCCATGAAATAAAATCAAAGCAGGCAGAGGCTGCCTGGCTGTGTACACAAAATGAAAGTTTCGCCAAGACATTATGGGATGAGATAGTTTGGAGAGTTACTACTCAAATGCAGAATTATGAAAAGCAAAGACAATCAGCTCGCTCCTCCTGATTACGGATTCCAAGTGGATCTGATGACAGCCTCAGGCACTTCCATGGCTCCATATGTCCAAAATCTCTGCAAAATCTCGTCGAGTGGTATTCAGTATTTAACCTTGCTGCGCCCTTTTGGCAAGGAATCCGCTCCTTGTTTACAGGGGCCCTGCAACGCAGTGAGTGCTTTTCAGTAATTAATATCAACTGCAGAACTCAAAAAGCTGGAGAAGGGACGAAAAAAGAGATGAATGCATTCATTAGTGTAATTCACTGCTGAAAAAGGCCCGCTGGTAAATTATCCTGCACGTATCTGGGTGGACAGGCAAATAATGAGTCCCTCAGGTTCATGGGGATTCCCCGTCCCGCCTGGGAGAGGACCCTGTTGCTTTGTACCTTGACTTCTTCTGTTCCTTTGGAGAGTGGGACACAGCAGGTGCTTAACAACACAGCGAAGTTTTTGACCTGTGGTAGAAGCAATGTAATTATTTTGAGAGGATTTAAGGGTACTAATGGCACTGTATGGATTTATGAGAGGAGTTAACTTAATGGCTCTGTGACATCCAGACTTCGCTCACGGGAGCAAAGCAGAATAGCTTGACCCACCTGCACAGATTCACTGGGTGCAGGGAAGGCCTCGAGCTTTGCGGGATCCATTACTCACATAGCAGACATTTTATCAGTCCAAAAAATGCATTTCAGTTTTCAGTCCTAAAGAAAGATTAATAGGAATGAAGTCCTATGTGATGCTCCTTGATAGGTGTACTTGGATGTCTGAACTGTTGACTCCAAAGAATACAACCAAATGCAGGTGCAAGGGGAATAAACCAAATGTTATTTTTGGTACAACTCCACGGCTCCCTAAAAGAAATCATCTGAAAACTCCAGTATAAGATGATGATCTGATGAAGGCATTCAAGAGAAGTTAGCAGAAGCCTATCTGAAATCTCTAGCAGGGTCACGACCGGGACTGACACAGGCAACACCTTGCACAGAGCCCAAAGGGTCACTGTGAAGGTTAAAAAGAGCCTAAGATGAACTTGTTATGAACTTGTTAGCCTTTTACTAGGCTCTCTTCATTGCTTATATAAAATCCTTTTTTTTTTTTTTTTTCCTAAAAGAGCTGTCTTAACTACAGGCAAGAGTGAGGTGAGCGGCGCACCGTGCGGCTGGGGACTGAGGGGAAGGGTGTAGGATAAGCTGAGTTTTAGCCCTAACTCTGCCATTCACACATGGCTGTTGGCACAATTCGGCACTTGGTGTTGCCGTGTTGGGTTCGAGCTTGTGTGAGAAAACTTCAGAAGGGTCACAATATGTTGGGAACCACAGCAACACTTACGTTCGGATACCACAGATATAAAAAGCTTCACTCAGCCCAGACACGAGGTCTGTTTTGGCTCCTACAAAACCAAGCACCTAGTTCTTTGAGAGATTTGCAGGGGATTGTTTTCCTGCCGGGTTTTCCTTTGCCCTCATCTCGGTTCAATAAGGATGGCAGAGGACAAGCTGGCGGGCCGCCTGTCCTCGCAGCCACGGGTCCTGCAGCTGCAGTCCCACCGCATCCCCACGCTGAGCTGTGCAAGCCGTGGATTAAAGCCAGGATACAACCCAGCAGCATCTCCTTTACCAGCCACCAGCAGGAAAATAAATAAGACATCCCACCGGAAGAAAAGAGTGATTTCACGTTTACGCTTCCAAGGGAAAAGGGAATTTGAAACAAACAAAACATCTTTTTTTTTTTTTTTTTTTTTTCTTTCCCTGCAGAAACTCTGCCTCCTGTCAAAGCAGGATTGTAGCGACACCGAGGGCTCTGTGCAGAAGTCTTCTGTTTGCCTCTGCATTTGATTAGCTGCTTGCGTCGCGTGTTTTAATTTCCTGCGGTTGAAGCACGTTGCTGTCATGGTGATAGATGCTAGAGAAAGGAGAAAAATAAATAAATAAAAGTTCAGAGCACTTTTGACCAAGTCTGCACTAATTAGTGCATAAGGCAAACAGACAAACGTTTTCTGGGATTTGTGTCAGCCGGATCCAGATTCCTCCTCTGCCTCTCAGATACAGCAAAACCCTTTCTAGAAACTGAAATAAAGAAAGACGGCAGATGGTGCTGGGAATACTCCGAGCACGAAGCCTCCATTCAGAGCCAGATATTAGTAAGAAGCCACCCAGTGAACAGGCACTGCCAGGCGGCGAATATTGAGTGAGATGGCAGGGGAGAGGTGAGGAAGATGCTGTTGCAGAAGGACTGGTGATGGGCTCAGCAGAAACCACTGAGGGCTTGCGTGGGTGAGATGCTCTGAGCGTGGTGAGGACGGCTGATCGAGCAGGGCTGCGTGGAAGTGGAAGGGGAAGAGACGAGGACTGTCTGGCTGCTGTGTGGGACAAGGCAAGGGCTTGGGAGGATGGAGATGAATCTTGTTAACATCGCCTGCAACGCCAAAACAAGTGGCGAGGTAGCACTCTTCTCTTCTGGATGTTTTTAAGAGATCAACTTAAAAATAATTGAAATTAGCACAGGGCTCAACCAAAAGCAGCCTAACAGTGTTAAATGCGTAAACCAAAGACTGAGCTCTGAAAGTGAGGAAAGAACTTTTCTGTTTGTCAGTGGGAAAGGGATGCATAAAAATAGCTCTTTTCCCAAACCAACAAAGAGTTATTATTTATTGTAGAGCTTCTACCACAAGCCATCATCATCCCCTCCTGGCTGACTTTCCTGCAGAGATTCAAAGACACAACACGTATCCTCCAGCCATGTAATATTGCTGCTGTTGTGCTGGCTATGTACTTCTGATCAAACTTTCTTTGATCAGAAAATTAATCTTAACTGGAAATAGAAAACTAAAGGGATATTTACTGGACACAGACAATATTAAATTAGCAGATGTTTAGTAATTTTTTCCAGGGCACCATTTTTTCCTCAGACAAACACAATCCCAACTGAGGCTATAAAAATAAATTCTAATCTCAGTGATAGCATCTCCTGCCTTATTGCGCTCCCACCTGTACACGCATTGCCATGCAAATTGGCCCAAATACAGCCTTCCTTTCAGCTAAACGACTGCCTACCTGTGACTCGAAATGGATGTCAATTGCCTGATACCTCGTGCCATGAAATTTTGGTCTTGCACAGTCTAACCTGTCAGCTTTGACTTTAACAGCATAACTATCCACCATGGTAACTGAAACTTTTATTATTATTTATTTTTATTCAGGTGAGCAAGTAGATGGCTGGAGAGGACCGGCACAACTGTACCTAGCTGTGAGTAACGAAGGCTGAAGCAAGCTCCTGGTGTTTGTTTGAACTGCAGCAGTCCTACAGAAAACTACAGCAGAAGTACAGAAATCCAGTCGTTCACGAATGGCCCCACCATCTTATCTGGGTACCTGCTGCACCGTCAGCTGTGGTATGTATCCTTTATATACCATATCTCCTTTCCTCCTCACCACGGGTGGTCCAGGGGCACAGGAGGGTTGGGACAGCTGACAAAGAATTAAGAAACTGCTGAGGAAGGGGAAAAGAGACACTCGCAGCCTACAGAAAGCTGTGCTGAGAAGGGGAATGCAATGTGTGGAGGCCAGCACGGCCTGCCATCGTTTTGTGCACAGACAGCCCTGCCTGCAGCAGATGTGCTTGGCAAACCGGCAAAGCTGAGCGCACCAGTGAGAGCAAATTGGATGGCTGTGAGGAAAAATACATTCTGCTGTGGCTGCACCGCTATGAAAATAGCCTAACGTGCCTATGGGACTGCCCGTGAGTGTCTAACTAACACAGCAGGCTGAAATGAAAGGTGTCAATTTGCTGTGGCACAAGGTACGCATGCAGCAACTGGCGGCAAAGACGTGAACGTGAGAGGCTGAGTCCATCCCTGCATCTACTGCAAGGTTCAGGAGGAAACAGTTCAGCACTGAAGAAGCAGTTCAGCCTGCCTATTTGTGTGCCTTTCCCAGCACACAAAAGGGTTTGTGATGGGGGGCTGTCGGTGCCGCTGCTGGGGTGACAAATACCCCAGAGGTGCCGTGGCCAAAGCACTTGAGGTGGGCCCCAATGCCACGTCCACACCAGCTCAAGGAGCAGCCTGCTGGGCAAGAATAAGCACCTTCAGAGCTGGTCAGCTGCTCCTGGTGTTGTTCAGAGCAAGTTTGGAGCTTCAGCAACCAAATTCTGCCTCAGATTCCCTGCCCGTGTCCTCTGTGATGTGGCTGGGGCAGCACAGGCCCAGCCAGAGAGCAAGCTTCTTCATGATACCTGGACACCCTTCTGCTTGCCACGTGGAAATGGCACACAATTGGACTTGAAGCACTTCAGGACAGCTCCAACGAGGAGAAATCCCCACCAGAGGACTAGCTGGTCACCCTGCTTCTGCTGAAACAAAGCGAAGGGCCTACCACAGCTCCATCCCACCAGTGCTGCTCTGCCTACCTGACCCGTGAGTCCTGATCCGCATTTCCTCCTGTTCTCAGATGCAGAAGGTTCGGGAGAGTTTTCTCCAAGGCCACAGCTATCATCGGTCCTATAAATGATTGCAGTGGCACCAGCTCCTGTCCTTGACTGTGCTTCTTTGTCAAGCGAGGCAGCGATAGCAATCACTCCGGTGTTTAGCAAACCCGCAGATCACTATTGCCAATCTTTGTATAAACAAGAACTAATTAATCTTCACCGCATCTCTCTAAAGAAGGTAGGTATTATCATTTATTATCTCCCCTGTTTTACAAACACAAACTGAGATGGCAAAACAAAACAGAACAATAAAATGGTTTGCTGAGGGCCAAGCAAGATAAACACGTTGCGGGCAGCGAAGATGGTTTTTCTCAGTGGGAAAAGGCAGAGGGCGAGATCAGCAGGCTTTACCTTAATGCAGATAATGAAAAATAGTTGTTGGATTAAATAGATACCTACTCTATGAAATGGAGGCTTTCCGCTGTGAGAATGAGTAAAACAGCAGCCAGAATATTTTACTAATTTTATTCCCTACAAAATAAAAAGGCGAAGGGCCAGTGCAGCAGCTGCACGCATTTGGTTTTGGTTTCTAAAAAGAGCGCAGTTCCCATTTAGGCTTCAAAGTGGCCGCCCTGTCAAAAAGCTCGCTGACATATTGAACCTCTTGACATTTTGATTTTTAATTTACCCTGAAATATTGCAAAGGGATCAGTTAAGTGCTGAACTTCATTTTTCTTTCAGCCTGCTGCAGTCAGATGCCGTGGAGCTGTATCTTTAAAATCTTGCCCCATTTTGTGCGTAGAAGGGACATGGAAAATTGGCTTTCTGTGAGTGCAGAGGCAAGAAAGGATATAGAAAGCTTGCTGAAAAAGAACTGAAAATTGCCTGCTTCGCTGTAGCTTTGTCTCAGCGAGATGCTCCTTGTCTGCTGCAGAAATAGCAGTCGCTTCCTACTTTGTTACTGCGTGTGTAAAAATTACACTGTCCATTTTAAGAAACTAATTATGAGTGCAGATTATTTTCATATCTGGTCAAATGATGAATAATGATTGCTGCGCCATATTCTTGCAAAGCACTTTAAACTGATTTGAGTACATAAGCCTGATCTTTTAAAAAACCTTAACAAGAAGTAGCTGAAATTACCCTTAAAAAAAAGGCACTCAGGTGGCAGGTCATTTCCTAGCTGTAGGAGGCAAGAAGGGGAAAGGCAAGACAGCAATAAAAGCAAGGGGAGAATTTCCTGGGAAGGAGCTTGAGAGACATCCAAAGGGAAATCCCTTACAGCCTCCCAGCTCCAAGCAGGCAAATAACTAGCATTAAATTGTCCTTCAGCTCTTCAGCTCGCTTTTTCTTTTCTTTCTTAGGAAAGAGCCTACACAGAGTGCAGTGCCCTGAATTTAGTCCCTCTTTATATTATTTGATAAACGCCTTTTCCATATTTTTTCTCTAAATCCCAGGCGCCAGTTGCTAGCATCCTAAAGCCTTCTTCAATTAGACAGCTTAGTTAAAGAGCAGTCTCTGAAAGTTGCCTCTTTTCTGGGTGGGCAGAACACAAGGGCAAACAGCTTGGAGACAGATTTAGGCATTACCAAGGGACGAGAAAAAGAAAAGCAAAGCTAGGAGGGCTCAGAGCAAACCAGTGGTGCCTTGTGCTGCTCCTGAAGCCACGGGAAGAAGCAGGGATGGCTCAGCATGTGGCGATATCTGCGGTGCAGGACTCGGTGTGATTTACAGAAATACAAAGAAGGGGTTGTCAGATGAACCAGAGGTGTGCCGTTGTTTCTGGAAGTCATTAAGCATATCATTGAGAAGGGAGCTGGACCTGTGGAAACCTAAATGAAAAAGGGTTCATTGCCAGGCCACATTTGGGGAGCATGGGGTGAACCCAGAGACAATACCAGCACGAGATGGGGACAACAAAAAGGCACCACTGCAGAAACACGGGGGTTTTCCTGGCTTCCTTTTCATTCATCTAGCTAAAGAGGAGTCAGGTTTGCAGGCAGGCTGTCTCCTTGAAGTTTAGGACAGATTTGTATTGATTTGAAGTCAGAGTATTGCCGAACTAAGTGAACCTGCAATAAACTAATTTTATGCCAAGTTAAGCTGCTACAAAAAAATCTCGCAGTTGTTAAAATGAATTGGCATTTAAACAAAGTAAGCATAATTTGATAAAACTTCACTGAGAAGATGAGGCTACCCATATTGTGGCCTGGCAAGAGCATTTGAAAGAGTTATTTGTATAATTCTTGCCACACAGAAAAAAACCTCTGGATCTGAATCTGTAAAGCAATGCCAAGTAAAAAGGGTTTTATGAACAGATTTTAAAAAAAAGTATCCTGATTACAATTTGAAGGCCTAGCTCTAATTCTTTGACTAACATAATTTTCTATTATAGTATAATTCACTATTCAGAAAGAGTAAGGTAGCAGATAGTGTCTAAAGCCAAGACAAAACTACAAGATGGCATGTAAAATAACTGTAATTAAACAATCAAATGTAGCAATTAAACATGAATGATTCTTTATTAGGCTGAATGAGGATGCCAAACAAGGCTCCACAGGTGGCGAGTTTATTCCCCCATGCTCGCGGGTGTTTTCATTAGCAGCTCTTGGCACAGCCAAGCACGCGGATCTCCGTGTGCCTGTAAGAGCCAGCCCGCACGGAGGTACTGCTCAGACCCAGGAGGATGTGCAGAGATCTGGAAGGACGACGGATTAAAGGACAGCGTGGTGGGAAAACCAGGCGAGAGAATGATGCTAATGCTGCTGCTCTCCTCCAGCTGCAGAGGCAATGGCGCGCTGCCTTCGGTGCGGGGCAGCATATTTTTGAAGAGATTAACTGGGAAGAGCTCGCAGGAAAGCAACAAAGGTGATAAAGGATTTGGAAAACAAGACCTGCGAGGGAAAGGCAAAGAGAGCTGGGCATGTTTAGCCTGGAGAAGAGCGGGCTGAAGGGACGCATAACTGTTTACCAGCACATTAAGGGACATTATAAAGAGGATTGGGACCAATTCTCATTAGTCAGTGAGGACAGAACAGGAACTAATGGATCTTAACTGCAGTAGGCAAAAAATAGGTTAAACATTAGGGAGAGTGTAATTCTGGGGTGGACCAGGTAATGGAACAAGAGTCCTGGGCAGTGTCAAGAGAGCTTGGATGGTGGGCACCAGCCTAGGGGTGCCAGGAGAGACCAGACACCAGGCCCCCAAAATCAGTGGGGAAATCACCAGGAGTGATGGAGAATGTCAAGCCACTCTGCCCTTGGTTCCCCACTCCTACTAAATCCGGCTGCCCAGAGCCCCATCCAGCCTGGCCTTGAGCATCTCCAGGGATGGGGCAGCCACAGCTCCTCTGGGCAGCCCGTGCCAGGGCCTCACCGCTCTCTGAGGGAAGAATTTCTTCCTGATAGCTGATCTCAAACTGCCTTCCTTCAGCTTAAAACTTGCACCTATGCTGGCAGAGATGCCCCCAGGCTGCATCTGCTGGGAAAGGATCGCTGGAGCAGCTGGAGGAGCAAAGCTCTCCTCACCCCTCAGCCCGAGCTGAGGGCTGGGTCACCGCCCTCCGCCTCGGCGCCTTGTCATTTGCAGTGGCACATCTGCTTAAGGTCCTCTGCAAACAGGTGTAGCTTAATTAACAGCATTAATGTGGCTGCCCGGGCACGTGCTGTTTCATTTGCCGGAGAAGAGGTGGAATGGTTTCACCTGCACTGACTCGGAGACAGATTTCAGCTTCACCTCCTAAAACCCTTCGACCTGAGCAGAAACACACGCTTTAGAAAGCAACACGAGGCATAAAAAAGGCAACTGGCACTGTTTGCACCGGTGTGCACAGGCAGTTCTCCCAACTTCTGTGACACCTGAGGCTCGGCCTCGTTTTGCTGAAGATCTCCCTTCACTTTTCTGGGCTTTGGGCTTAGGCACAGCGTGCTGTGGTGCTGGATGGTTTGAAGAATCCAAGAGCTGGGAGCCTATGAGGGGCTGCGAGTGTCGGCTGAACTGCAGCCACGCCAAAGCCAAGCTCTTTCTGCTCCCCGTAGTGCAATATTCACCCGTCGGGGTGCAAGACCTGAACGTTGCTCTTTCCTTTACATATCTGCCAAATCTTTATTTACCAGCCTGGATTCTGTGACATCCTGCCAAGCATCTAAATCAGTGCGCTCTCTCGTGCCGGTGCCGGTGTTTCTGCAGAAGATGGATTAATCTTTTTTTTTTTTTTATTCCCCCGCTGATCTGGGACTTTGGGGAGGAGGCAGATAGCAGGCGAGAGGGGATTTAAGCCTTTCTCTTCACCTTTAAAAAAAAAAAACACACACACACACACACCGTGCAGCATTGCTCTCCCAGGAGTAGGCCCACATTATTACTGCAGCCACAGCCACATCATCAGAGCTACAGAGCTCGGAGTTGTAGATCATCAGCCTGCTGTCACGGCCGTGATGTATGATGGAAAAAGCCATCCATCTGCGAGCGCGCGGCACAAAGGGCCGGGGCTGCAGCCACGCAGCGTGGCAGGGGCGACGTGCACAGCACCGAGCGCTTCCCCACCCGAATGGACGGACGTCAGCGTGGCAAATCGAGCCTCGTTAGGAGGAGCGGGGAGCGTGTTCAAAGCTGCTCCCTCGCAGGTCTCCAGGATGGCAAAATGCAGGCGTGCTCGTGGCTTCAGAAGCGACGCCTCCGAATCCGGCTCCTGCTTCTTCCGCATGCACACCTCTTTCCCTTAAAGCTTACATTTGATTTTCTTTCCCGGTGTAAAACCTCAATCATATTTACACCAGCTTTAGGATCTTTACAGACAAAGACGTTTAAGGCTGTGAAATCTTGGGAGAAGGTGAAATGACATGGTGGATCAATCAGCTGATGCTTCTTCCCTGCACAGCAGGGGACTCCAGCAAACCTCTTGTATTTCGTGCGGAGACTCGGCTCTGACTGAATTTTTCCTTTGGCACTGTAAGAGCAGAAAGATATTAAATAAAAAAAAATAATAAAAAAAAAAGAGTGAGCGAGAAGGAGCAAGCATGAGCGCTTCTGCATGGCTCCAGGTTTCTCAACTAAAATGAACCGCTGGTTTTCCAGGACTGAACCCATTTCATGTGCATTATTCCGCTCTGCGATCCTCAAAAAGAGTGGGCACAGAGAAGGTTTACACCTAAATAAAGTAAAATTAGAAAAAGGAGTAGCGTGTGCGGATCACAGAGCCACTCATGTAGGAGCAGGTAGCTCAGTGGCTCTACCGATCAGTCATTTAATTTCAAATAGCTACAAAGCAATTTTCAAAATATGTACCTCACTGAAACATAACACCCTTGAAATACCACATTCTTGTTCATTAATGGTAAATTATGGCACATACAGCCCGCTGTTACTGAGAATTTCAGTCTGGAGGCCTTTGACAAACACATCCTCTGCTCGTGGGGAACGTGGTGGGGCACTCGGATACTTAAAAGCATTTTCCTCACATTTCACATACTTTTCAACATCTTATTTTTATTTAGAGAAAAGATTAATTTCTGTACTTTGCCACTAATGTTACTGTTTTTAAAATCTTTTCATGGGGAGCTGTCAGGAAAACATTTTAGTTTGGAACAGACGTTCTTTCAGTTTTTTTTTCATTCATGCTTTTCTCTTAATAAATATCTGAGTCAATCACAGATTCTTGTTGCTGCTATTTTCCTTAAGGAACCCAGCTGCTGTTTCTTTTTTTTTTTTTCTTTTTCTCTCTTTGCTTGCCAAATCATCACTCAAGATATGGATGAATTTCTTCATAACCATTAAATGTGTTTTGCAAAGCCAGCACAGGCACCCAGCTTGAACTTCCCCAGGAATTTCCCTACGAAGACGAGGAGCTTTGCCAGGCAAGGAGGAAGAAGCCCTTCCACCAATGCACCTGAGTCCCTTGTCTCCATCTGGCACAGGAGAGGTGAAAGCAGTGGCCTAGGTGATTCCAGGTCTTAAATCCTTCTTCAGGGATCTTCGAGTGGATGCATCAGTGCCGTCTGAAGGAAGGAAAACATCTGCTGCAGTACAAGTGGCAAGCTTTGCTCTGGAGGGATCTGTACGACTGTGTGTGGCCATGGCTCAAGAGGGCTTTTCAGTTTTTCTGCTTGAAATTCTGTCCTGTTTTGTGCTTTTTTTTTTTTTTTTTTTTTTTTTTTTCTTAAGCTACTTCATTTGGTGCCAAGTCCTGAAAAGAAAACTGTGGGAGAAAAGTGCTCGATGAAAGAATTATTTTTAGCTTAAGTTTACAAAGCCGACAGAGGCACAGGTTGCACTCTCCAAGACACTCGACCAGCCATGGGTGGAGCTGTCTCATTTGATTCAAGAACTGAATTTGGGGCTTGAAAACTTCCCCCGTGGATCACTGTCCGAGCGTGGGATGTGTCTAGCAAAGCCTGAGGGGATGGTTCCCTTTGTGACAGCTGACGGAGAGGAGAGGACAGAACTGCCCGAGTAATTTTGGCCTGCCAAATCGTGATGGAGGGCCGATACGCCACCACACCGACCTCCAGCAAAAGAACAAAAAGGAAGAGAAGCACCCCTCAAAAGATGAGAACTATCTCAGGAGTCAGAGTTGCAGAGTCTCGTGAGGTGTCACATCCCATCATTTTATTGCCGCTGTGCTGTGCAACATCCCTCTCCTAAAGCACAAACATACAAATGCAATTCACCGTGCGAGCATTGGAAAGATAAAGCAGAAAGAAGTATTTAAAAAGGACAATAGTTAATCAAAATGTATCAGACCCCCTTTAAACTTTTAGCCTTAAATAGACCTGTGTATAATTAAGAATCAAATGTAAGTCTTGCTAAATTATCTAGGAGGTGAACTTCCTATTTGTGCTGCACCCTCAGTAATGTGATTTGTGTTGCTTAAATGACGCCCACCTCCACCCTATTTGAGTGTTGTGATTTTAAGGCTGGAGCAGCTATAATTAAAGAGCATTTCCAGAGCGAGCATAGCACTGTGCAGCGTAATGTGACATTCAGAATACATCAGCATCACTTTACACGGGAGTCCTGATTATTTTTACTTCAGCCCTGTCATTCATCCCCAATGAAGCTCATCTGCCTCAAACCGTGGTGTCGCACCTAGTTCGTGCCATTTCCCCCCATCCTTACAAACCTCTATCAATTTATTCATGCGTTTTGTGTGCTTAATTCTTCGGGCACAGGTTTACTTTTATTTTCCAACTAATGATTTTACGAGCCCCGTGCCTCCTCCAAACAGTCCCCAAATAGGGCAGCTCATCACGGCGAACGTGAGCCACGAGCAGCAGACAGTACCAGCCATTCACATAGCAATGTATGTCTGTAACAGGAAGAGAGACTTTTTTTTTCCTCTTTTTTTTTTTTTTTACATAGGATGCCAGCAGGAACTGAGACTGCTCTTTGATTCAGCGATAATGAGTGAACATTGCACCAACGACATTTACATTTCGCCGGTGGTATGAAAAAACACGAGACTGTTCTTCTGAGTTCAGAGTTAGGCCCCCAATGCACGCTGATTTCCTGAAGCTGGAGCACTCCGAGGCTGCTATTGATGTGAACGAACATCTTGGCAATTTAGCAAAAGATGACATCAGGCATGAAAGGTAAATGCAGGGCGGGTGATTACCTGTAAACGTTCCTCCTGGAGGATCTTCTTCTCAGAAGCACATTAACCCATCTTCCCCATCTCTTTCCCCTGCTGCAGGTGAAATCAAATTTTCATAAGTTTCTGCCATATCTGCTTCATTGGGAAGCTCTGGAAATATATTAGGAGCACGGTTGCAAGGTCTTTGTGGAGGCACTGTGCTGCCGCATACCGTGTCAAACTATTATCCAGGCTTCCTGCTGACTGACGCTGCTGGAGAAGGCTGAACTTTGGCTTCGGGGGAGGCAGCGAGAGGCAATTTGGTCTGAACATCGCGTCGCTGCCAGGAAGGAGGCTGCGGTTTTCATCTCTGAGGCCACCGACAGGGGCTGTGGCGGTTCAGGCAGGGGCTGGAAGTCACCTGGAGACCTTGGGCATCTCAATGACTGTGCGCCTTATCCCAGTAAGAAACCTTACCGTTTTCTTTCTGTGTATTTGTGTCACACCAACCACAAGTTCCACATTTTTTATGACACAATGAGACAGGCCATCTCGAAAGAGTTAGTATCTTAAAGATGGGAGCCCAGCCATCCTGCATCAGCTGCAGCTGCAGGTGTCATGCTGTCACTGTGCAACACTCCTTTCTGGCACTGAAACCAGGTCTTTTGCTCATGGGCTGCCTTCAACAGGCTAACACAGACTTGCACAGCATCTTGCTAACTACATTGCTGTTATCCAAGCTATTACAAGCAGCCGGTCCATTTGAGCTTGCCTTCCCCTGCGCAGCGGACGGGGAGGAGGTGGCTCTATTTGTATTGTAGTCATTAACAGGGAAGAACCTGAGCTACCAGCATCGACTGTTTCCCAGTGGTGAATTAAGAGAAATGGCTGTCCACTCTTTTCCCTCCATAAAGGATGCACTTAAGCAATTTTTGGTACATTTTCCTTCTGTTTTTGATAAGAAAAAATAGCGTTCTCATTCTCCCATTAGAAACTATTATATAGCAGCTAACACATTTACGGCCAGTAAAAGCAAGCACATCAGTTAACATTTTGCTGGCCAAGTCTGCCACTGCAGAAACAACAAATTATTTTTAAAATTCAGGGACGAAAACAAAGCCCTCTTTCAGTTCCTAACACTTTGCTGACACCGGCAATGCAAAGATCCTCCAAAGTCCTGCAGCATTTTCCTTCGGTGGCTCCAGTTTGTTTGCCATCGAGGAGCTCAGCCTCCTTGCCCAAGGGGTGCGGGATGGAGAAGTGCTCTGCAACGTGCCCCCTTGGTGAGACAGCACTGGTACCACATTCAAAGAGCGCCTCCAAATCCTGTGTGGGTACCAACCTAATTTTCTTTCCCTCCCCCCCAGCCCGCAGCTCTTTATACCACTCGTTCCCCGCTTCCCTTTTGTTAATTTATTATACGAGGGCAGCAGCACACACGGCAGATTAAAATCACGAAAGCAAGGCTCATTAGGATTCTATGTCCTTTGAGTGGTACGTAAAAAAATTCCGTGTGAAATGTCATGAAAGTAGATTTGGAAGTTTTGACAGATGTGAGAAAAGGAGAAATGTTTGCCATTTGTCTTAATGACACTTTAGTACGTTTGGAGAGCCAAGAGAAAAAAGGAAAAAGAAAAAAAAAAGCCACCCAGCAACAATTCTGGAGGTATGTGAGCTGCTTCCAAAAGCGATGCTGGGGTTGAGAGCACGCCTATGGGTATCAGGGAGCCTGTTCCTTTGCACCAACCGCAAAAAGGATCAGCAAACGGGGTAAAGTAAGGGAATATCATAACTTTCTATGCCTTGTGCTGTGGCTAAGCTGGCCGGTATGCCCCTCCCCACGAGACTGCAGCAATTAGTACTCCTCGAATGCATCCAGCAGCACAAACAGAAACAGGCAAATATTTTAGGAGCGTAAGAGAAAGCATTTGCATGTAATTACCAACCCAGCTGAGACAATTCTTTTCAGTGGCATATCTGGACAAAACAGTCTTTGGGTGAAATCCAGCTCTGCTGCGCTCAGACACTAAGTTGCTGTCACCCTGAAATTGTCTGATAGGGTTTTGAGTTCTGTTCGGGTGCTGCACAGGGCAAAGCAGGGGTCGTGGACACACCAATTTCTTCTGACTCCTGAGTCCGGCAGCGGGATCTCCCAGGTTCACGATGGTGTGATGGGAAAAGGAACCCAGAAAAAGTGTTTGGTGGATAACTGGTGCCTCTGACCTGGGGCCAGTGAGAGCCAGCAGAGGTACAACAGGGCTCAGTCTGCCTCTGAGACAAAAATTTCCCCCCCAGTCTTTCAAAAGAATCTGAATTTTGAAATCAAGTCATGGCATTACAGCCAGGAGAGGGGGGACAATTAATGCCAGCATCTGCCCCAGTCCAGAGAAGTCCAAGTGGAAAAAAAATACGGTTTCAAAGAGGGGAAGCAGCACCCTGGAGGAGGAGTAGGTTGCAGGGGGGGAACAGGACTTGTTTTTCCACATGCCAGAAGTTTCTTGTAACCTCACTTTTGTGATTCAGGGTTTACTGAGTCAAAATTTCCAGGCGTAAACAATGCGATGGCACAGCAGTGTGCTGATTTGAGTTAGAAATGGGAAATGCACAATGCCTTATCGCGAGGAACTCGTTCTGTGTGAGCTATTCACGGCAAGGAATCGATTTGTTGGATTTAGCCCCTTTTCCTGCTCGTGCATTGTCCTGAAAGCCATCACAATTTCCATGAATATGTCCACCGCTCCGAATTATCTGGCGAGCCATGCAAACATATTCCAGGCTGAATTGCTGGGGAGCTGCTCGCCGTGATTGCTGCTCAGAGCGGCTGATATCGAAAGCAGAGCCATTGCTCCGCGGGCACGTAGCTCACCTGGATTGTCAGCTCCCCCTTCGCATCAGCACGGCTTGTTCATGCCAACAGCCAGTTGCTAAGACTTTCCCCTCCATCCCTCGTTTGCCTCCAGCTGCTTTCTAGAGCATGATTTCCAGAGGCAGAATTTCCTGGCTGCTCACCGCAAAGCCCCATCTGCGGTCAGGGCCACCGGGCCAGCCCGGGAGACTAGCTAGCAATATGACTCTGGAATAATAATAAATAATAAATAATAAAAAAAAATAATAATAAAAACAGTTCCTTTGTGCTTTTGTTTTGCTACAGAGAGAGCACCGCACAGAGCTGACGTGAAGTTTGCATAATTAACGCTGCATCAAATCTCTTGCTATGGGAACCGAGGAAAAGCCACGCGAGGTGTGGGCATGGGCTGCCCTCCTTGCTCCTTCTCTCGAAGCCGCCTTGCCCAGGTCTGCCCAAAATCTTCCACACCACAGCCACCGAGCGTGAAAACAACTGCTGGCAGGAGTGAGCCCGCACCAGGCCCCACGGCGATATCACTTTCATCATCTGTGGAGTCGGTAAGAATTCCTACCCAGGCTTGCGCCGGGTGCGTTTTTATTTGCAGCTGTGCAAGCTGTGGTTGATTATTCAGAAAGGAAAGAGGCTGCACGTAAAGCCAGTACGGCAAAGCACTGAGAACAGGGCAGGCTGTTGAGGGCAGACATGGTTAAAATGCAGCTGCCACACAGAGAAATTGGGAAGCCATCATGTCTGTAAACTTCTCTTCCAGTATTTTTTACTAATTTCCTTGCAGATCCCACACCAATGTTTTCGATTTAGGTAAATAAAAGTGATGCAAACATCTAGATTATTTTTATCTCCGCAGCACTTCAATCTAATTCATTAATTTATCACATAACAATTAGCGGTTATTATGCAAGTCCTCACTTGGCAGATGAGCAATTCCAGGCTCTTGTGAGAGGTGAGCCTTTTCCAGAAGCCCTGTATCTGCTAATCCATCTTGCAGCATGCTACCATTACAGGTTACTTTTGCCTCTCATATTTCTCCTGTTTTAGCAAAAGCCATGTCGCCGGGAAGCATGTTCATTCACAACCCACAGCGGTATCTGGGCCTACAGCAGCCTTTTGCAAAAAAATGTTTGTGGGTTTGGTTGTGGTTTTTGTTAGTTTTTTCTTTTTTCCTTAGCATTACTGCAAGAAAAATGGGCGGCCTCAAACCCAGAATGAATAGGAAGGCCCCCATGCGATGTGAATGATGCCGAATTCTGTCCTTCTGTGGGTGCAGCGATGTGAAAAATAGGAAACCTGCACCGCCTGACCCCAAGGGCCCCCTTTACATCTGCGGATCCAAACGCAAATAAGACATGCCGGAAAATGCAAGTACAAGCTGTTTGGAATGGAAGCGAAAAAATCAACAACAGCACTACATTTTTAATTTTCTATTGCTGATGCGTTGTTATTTAAAATAAAACCTTGAGCTGGAGTGTGGGAAACAAAGAAAGGGCGTGCTGCATGCCAGCATCTCCCTGCCCCTGATGCAGGACATGAGGCCAGGTAGCCAAAGGGGCACGGATCAGAAGATGCTCACTGGGTACCTCTTTAGGAAAGCCAGCATCCCGCTCTGGCTGGCAGTCTGGGCACAGCAATCCCGTCCTCCTGCAGGCTGAGCTGCTCCCCACATAACCCTGGGTCCTCTCCCAGCAGGCTGTGGATGGAAGAACCGGCATTTGGTGCATTTCACGGTTTAATCAGGCTCTGCCTCCAAATATTAATGGCATAAATAGAGTTATGGACTATGAAGCACTTCAAGAGGTCATCCAGCCCGTTTCCTTGATTTAAGGCTGCATTAGTTGCAGTATATCACTCCTGCCAAAGAGAGATGCAATCTGCTCTTAGAGATCCTCAGCAATCGAGATTTGACAGCCTCCACAGGCTGTTGCCTCACCGTCATTATCATTACAAAGTCACTCCTTGATGCCTAACTCGATTCTTCCTCGCGGCGATTGAAGACCACGGCTCCTTCCCTTGCCACCAGCGATGGAGGAGATTACTCCCGGCTTCCTCGCAGTGGCCTTTCATGCTTGTGAAGATTTGCACGTCTGCTCCATCCTCCTCTCTGTAGGCTAAACACAAACGCAGTCCTTTCCTGGTGGCAGACCTCTTCCTCATCTCACTCCGTACGGGTACGTGCAGGCGAACAAAATCAATGCGGGCACAGAAATTGGGGAGAAAGCTCGTGGCTGAGCGCAACCGCCCAAGAGAAACTCTAATGTGCTACCTGGCATTTACACAGCAAGTTGTGCAACTATTTACCCAGCGCTCGGCACACACAGTTTTTAACCATGGCAACCTCTGTATCACGCAGCCCTCATGCATAGACAGCTGTGCCAAATAAACAGGCAACAGACTTGAAATAGCAGCACACCGCCGTCTTAATTGTTAGCCCATTGATCTTGTATCAGGTGTAAATAGAAACCTCAGCCGGCACTTCTGGAGGCTGAGAAAAGAAAGATGAATCTTAATCAGTCCTGATAAAAAAAAAAAAGGGCACCGTGCGCAGATCGTGCAATGAAAGGTACTGCAAAAGTTGCTTCTTTGCTGAAAAAGTGTACCTCGGTTACCTAGAAAATATATAAGCCCAAATGTGCAGAAAAAAAAAGACAAAAAAAGATGTGACTGATGTGACAGCCACCTGCTGTTACAGCCTGCTTGCTGCTGTACATGGTGTGCATATGTCCCAGCATTAATGATAATGGACATGCTGCTGGTGACTCTGCCCACAGCAACACCAGCCCCTCTGGTGTCCCAAGGGCGTTTTGGTGATGCCAGCTGAGCATGGAGCAGCTTTAAGGGTGGTTTCTGAGCTTGTGCTATTCCCTTGTTAAGAAAACAAGCAGCATTTTCTGCGTTGTGGACTGTGGTTAGGGCAGGTGGCACCTGTGGCCTGGTGACCAGAGGCAGCTCTCCAGGGGCAAAGCCGCTCCTCGGGACGCAGTAACTTAGCAGGAGGGGCATCAAAGAGAAGGTGGGAGGCAAGGTTATCTTCCCAAAAGACGGTTTGATCCGAGGGGATTTAGTGAAAGCAGCGTGAGCAGGGATCAGCAGATTCGTGCTGCTGGCTCAGAATTCATCACGAGAACAAACTAAAAAATTGTGGGCTCTAAAAACCACGAGAGCTGTAGGTCTTTCATAATTGAGAAAACTTGGTGTAAAAGTGCACACGGGCTCAACAGGCACACTTGACATCACACGTGGGCTGCGCACATGATACGTACTTGCAATGTGCCAAACAACCTTCAACACAAAACCAGCAGATTTTGCCTCAAAATGAGCTCTCACCGCACAGCAGGCTGGCAGGGCATGGGGTGGCTTTCCCCACGGCTCCACCTGAGTGCCACGAGATGCCAGAGCAGGGAGATGGAGGCAGACAGCCACAGAGACAGGGAAGGGGACACAACGTGTCCTGCGTAAACCAAAGCATGACCAAATGGCACAGAGCCGTGTGAATGTGGAAGGTGAGGCCTGCTCTCTGTCCCGAAGGAAAGGCCACGCCACCAGGACGAAGGGATGCTGCATTTTTGGGGCCTCACGGCATTTTACCACCCGCTTTGACCCTCCTCACGTCACCTTTCCCCCCCGCCGACAGGCAGCGCGCTCCCAGTTTTAATTTTTGAAGAGTTATTTTAAAACGCCCAGCACAATAATTCCCTTTGAACAGCAGGGCCACGTGGGCTCGCGCCTGAGAGCCTGAACAGCAGCTGCTGCAGAAAATAACCTATTCATTAGGCTTCCAAGGACAGACGGTCAAATTACTCAATACAAATAATTTATCTGACAATTTTCTCTTCGCGGGTCATCTGCACGCGGGCCGCTTCTCACCGCCACTGAACTATTATTCCTTTTTTTTTATTATCTTGCATAAAAATACGTTTAAAGTTGGGCTGCCAGGCTGCCCCATGCCACTGACAGGCCCCAGGCTCTCTGCAGGCAGCACAGTAGAGGTGGGCATGGGGGAGCTGGCCCGGGAGGTGTGAAGTCATTGTCTTTTGCTCCCCACGAATATATTTTCTGGGGGTGGAGAGAAAAAAACGAAGCCCTTGGCAGTGTAAATGGATCCCAAATGTAAAGGTGACCGGGTTCTTTCCTCAGGCTGAGACAGACAAACAGATCTAGAAAAGCTGGTATCTGTTGGCTGTTTAGCAAGTTTACATTCCATTTTCTCCTGTCATGCTGACACAAATTATTTGCTCTTGTGTCTGGATTGCTATTTGCCAAGGGTGTAGTGACTACCCTCAGCCTTTCTTATTTGATTAACCATCTAAAAGCCGCAGCTCTTTCGGAAAGCTCCCCATCGGGCGTCCCAGATCCTGCAGAGAGCAGCAATTCGTTTCTTCCCGTGCACGGCTGGGATCCACTCATCCTCCATGCCACGCCGTGCCACTCGGCATCACCAGGACGAGGTGTGGTGAACCAGCAGGGCTCCGTGACGCCGTGGGACCCCCAGCACAGGTGGTGCCAAGTCCATTAAAAAAAAAAAAAACAAGAAAAAAAACACAATTTCCCTGCCTGTGACAGTGCCTGCGTGTCAGCCTGGGGTGCGATGACTGATGGCACAGCTGCTCCTGAGGCCGCCGCTGGAGATCTCTAATTTAATTAATGGCTTTTGGCACGTGTGTAACATCAGTCCCATGGCGCCCAGCCTCTGGCTCTGCTTCCCTCCGTACAAGGCAGAAGTGGAAGCGCTCGGACCTGGATTTTCCCCTCGACTGGCAACAAGGGGAGACCTGAAATGGTTAATGGTGCCTGCTCAGCCCAGATCTTGGGGAAAAAAAAACAAAAAACAACCAAACAAGGTTTCTCCTAAGCTTTTCTGAAATCCAGAGAACTCAGGAGAACCTGGCAAAAATATTTTCTTGGTTGAGATGCACTGGAGGCTGGTTTTCTTTTCTATCGTGGTGCCTTTGGCCCTTGTAAAAAGTATGGGATGTACTGCCAGGGTACAGAGCAAGACAGAAGCTTAGAGAAAAGTTAGCTAAAATGTCCCACCTCTGCTCCAAAAAGTCCATCCAGATTTAGAGACCATCTGCACCCAGATCTCCTACGCCTCAGCTACGACTACAGAGAATGGCCAAAATACCAAATAAATTAGAACTAGTCTGGGGGAAAAGCTGCTTGGGGAGGGCTGCGTGAACGGGGCAGGTAATTCAGTGCCCTTACCCAGTGACATCTCTCCTCCAGGCCAGGAGCTCCTGGTCCAAGCCAGAGCCAGGAACAGAGGCACTTGTATAGTGAAACTAAAAAAACAAGGCCAAAGAGAGGAAAAAAAAAAAAAAAGAAAACTCAGAAAACTTTGTTCAGCTCCCAGAATGGTCCCCAGATGAATGGATTTGGGATAAAGGGTAAGCATTTTATTTTCCTCAGCATGCCCTGCAGCATTTGTCCATCATTTTCTTTGAGATGCGCCAGGCTTGCTCAGCTCCAACACTTACTGGCAAAAATACTCCTCTGTCGTGTTTTCCTGGAATATTTCACATATTTCACTGCAGTCAGGCATTTATGAGGAGCATTTCCTTCTGCTCACCAACTTGTTCATCTTTGGACCGGGTTTTAAAAATAGCAAGATTCTACTTTTTTTTTTATTATTATTATTTTTTTAATCCTTCCCTTGCTGTTTCCTTTTCGTTCCCCAGGTACAGCTGGAGAGAAAGCAATCCTCCTTTGTCTCGGACCGAAGCCTTCTGCTTGAGAAGAGCCGTGCTGCTCCCCCCGAGCCCAGGCTGTGCCTTCCTGCCTCGCCTCCCTGCTCCAGGGAAAGCCCCCGCCACACCGCGTCCCCAGCGCCCAGACGGCAGGTAATGATGCGCGGATGTGCAATGAAATTTCAGAAATGCGCACTGACTTTTTAGAGATATGCCAACCGGCAAAGAAAATGAAAAAAAATGAAGTCTAACATAAAATAATTTAAAAAAAAAAAAAGGGTTCTGGTGAGGCCGCACCTCGAGCGCTGTGCTCAGCTTCGGGCCCCTCACTACAAGGTGTGGGGAGCTGGGGTCGGCCTCTGCTCACAGGTAACCAGTGATAGGACCAGAGGGAATGGCCTCAAGTTGTGCCAGGGGAGGTTTAGGTTGGAAATGAGGAGACATTTCTGCTCAGAAAGAGCAGTCAGGCATTGGGACGGGTTGCCCAGGGAGGTGGTGGAGTCACCGTCCCTGGGGTGTTCAAGGAAAGGTTGGACGTGGTGCTTGGGGACACGGTTTAGTGGATGACATTGGTGATGACCAGATGATCTTGGAGATCTTTTCTATCCTTAATGATTCTGTGATTCTATGAAAAGAAACCAGACTTCACCCTTATTGAAACCTTGAAGCCCTCAGTGCTACCAGCTCTGAACTGCACTCTCTGCTACAGCACAGTAACTTTCCCAACCCCTTTTTTTCATAATTTACCACAAAAATGTGACTGGATTTTTGACCCAAAAGACGGTTTGCTTTTTATCGGTCTGTTGTTAGCCTTCTGGACACCCACTGCCTACAGCCCATGAATGTTTAATGTATGAGGTTTTTATAGGTTTTCTTATTTGAAAAACCTTATAGAAATATAGCTTTGGCTGTATGGTGACCTGGCCAGAGTACATGAGATTCCCACCATGAGGACACCATGAAGATACCACCTCCCACCACCATGTTGTGCTTCTATGAAGACAAGGTGATGGCGATGCCCGCTGAGCTGCGCACAGGAGCCAAGCTGTGGGTGTAAATCCATAAGCAAGTCAACAGAAACGTGCACAGGCTGCCTGTGCTTGGAGTCACATGTTTTGTTTTCCTATAGATGTAGGTATTTCTGGCTGTGCTGTGCGCTGCACGCCCCAAGATTTGATATCAAATGGATATGCAAGTTGAAATAGCCCCACAGCATCTCGAGTGTGCATGCAGAAATGTGTGCACGTTATGTAAATACATGAGAGAATATGGATATGTGTGGGGATATATATAAGGGAAATTTACACATCTCATATTTGCATCAGACCCCTTTTTTAGCATGTCCTACAAGTAATTTTGGAGGGTAAATCCACATGCAAGTGTGTGTGTTGACCCGATTTACGTACACATGGCTGATGGAGCAGCCAGCACGCAGACAGGCGTTGTATAGGTTACAGGCTGCACACAAATAAATGCTGGGGGCTGGATTGTGGCGGTGAGACACAGGAGGGGCAAAGAGACCCTGTGGGTTCCCTTTGTTAAAGGGGGTAGGGGAGAGTGCGTTGTGGCTTCTCCAGGGCTGCAGGAGAATTGTTATTGGACAAAATATCTAGAAAGTTTCATGTGTGGCTCTCAAATGGTCCTTCAAGAAAAAAAAAAAAAAAGAGTATTATTTACTTTGTTCCAGAAATATTTTAAGAATTTAAAAGTAATCCCTGCTTTATAGATACAGTATACGGACTCCTTTTACATACATATGCTGTAAAAGCAAAAATATTTTATATCTTATTCAAATCTATAAAGTATCATTACAGAAAACTGTTACTTTTATTACTCAACCTGAACTTTTATGAATGCCTACTCCATTAGATTTATACACTGACTTCTTAGAGTTAGAAATGACACTATAAAGCAGAGGAATAGCTGGGATATTTATTTGAAAGGCTGTATTACAAATTACTTTCCGATAACAACTCCTTTTCTGCTCGGCTCATTATGTCATTGCTCCCCAGCCTTTCTCCTCATGTGAGTGACTGGGTGACCTGAGTGATCCTCGGAGACCCTCACAGAACTGGCAGAGGTGTCCCCAGCAGACACGTGCCACCCCACATGAGGTGTCCTGCTCTGGGCTGGTCTTCTACTTATGCCCCTCAGACATGCACACTCACGTAGACCTCCCTCACGTCTGTCTGGGGTGTCCTAGGCGAGGAAATGTGCATACAGCACACAAAGGCACATCCACCACGTCCCAAAACTTCTGCCCCCTGCACGTGCTTCACTAAAAGCTGCATCTGTGCTGCGGGACCTATGGGATTTCCACTCCAAAGCGTGGAAAAGAGCATTCCTGCCATGTTTCTTCCCAAATGTTGTGGGGCTCCACGTGTTCAGGTGCCCTCCCACCTGCTTGTGCAAGTCCTGGCCATGCCTGAGGTCACAAAAGCAGGCACGTGTGGTCCCAGCACCCAGATCCCGCTCCAGGAGCTGCCCTAATACACCCTGACACACGAGCAAGCACAAAGCAACATCAACGAGCACCTGGGTGAAAGCAGGAGGGTCTTCTCATGTGCCTGGACACAGTCCTCAAAAGATAAAAGCGTTTGTTGTGTATTTTGGGGTAATGGCTGAAAACTTTTCCCACTGAGATAGAAAAAATACAAAAGGACTGCGGGCTGTAGAGCTCCCAGCCTACAGCTTCGGGCAGCCCGTTCCACTGCCTGTCACTTTTATGTATGCTTATATATAAAGTGTGATAGCCTGTCACTTTCTACAAATAGAGCTTTTACAGCGGCCACCAGTAGCAACCACATTTTAGTGCACAGGAACAGTTTCCACGAGGGCGCCGCCTGGACTTGGCCATCTCACAGTTTCCCCGATCCCTGCGAGTGTATTCTCTTCCCATACGTATATATACGTGTATACGCTTTTTATAATAATAATAATGATACCTCTAGAAAAAGTTTCCATTCTGTTCTCCTCCCTGCCCAGGAGTGCAGGTTTCAGCACATCCATTTCCTTCCCTTTATCTCCCGGCTGCCACTATGCAGTGCTGCAGCTGATACTGCAGAGGACAGCTACCCTGAAGGCTGTTTGCTGGCTCGGGTCTGGCTCGAGTCCCTCCTCGCTGTCTGGAGTTTGCCATTCGTGTCACAGCTGCAGCAAAAGCATGTGGGTTTTGGAGACCTTCTGCGAGCTGATGGAGTTGCGCATCCTTGCAAAATCAGATTTATTTCTAGGTAGGAAGGGCACTGCGTGCGCCAGTGTGGAGTATGAGCCTCCTGCGTGCTCATAACCGACTTATTACTGCTTATCTATTAATGACTACGGCCTCAGGAAGTCAGGTTTGCAACAAAAACCAAAATTGATAGCTAGAAGAAATTAAAAAGAAAGGGACTTTTCAAAAGCACTTAGCATCGATTCCTAATGAGCACATCGATTTCCAACAGCATTGCCAGTGAAAAGCTTCCAATGTATGAAATAAGCCGTAAAGGCAGCCGGCCAGCACTAAATCATAACACCTCCTTCCTCAGGCTTCCGACCCAGGCTGGAGAATGTGGCTAAGTACTTGGAGGACCTTCTCCTTTAGAGCTCGTCCCGAGGCATTTTGTGTTTTCACAATTTGCTCCTTATTTGCCGGGTAAGGCTAGAAATGCTGGCTCCTAAAAGTTTTGTAGGCTCTTGGTGCTACAAGAAAGCTGCCCGGAAAGGCCGGCCCTCGTACATGGCAAAAGGGAGGAGGACGAAAGGTAAAATTCCCAACAGCAGCAAGCAGCAAACAAAGCAAGTACCGCAATAATTTTAAAAGGTCACTGGTGTAGGAAGCAAACATGAAAGGGAAAAAAAAAAATCTGAATAAATGTAAATCCGTTCAGTCCGGCCTCCTACAAGGCATCAGATATTTTCAGGCAGTGCAGAGCTGGCTGCTCCATACACCTGGGCTGCGAGCGGCTGTAATTGAGGGGGATTTGCAATCTGACTCACGGCGACACCTCTGAGACATGCCAAGAGCACGCAGGGGAGGGAGAGCAGGGCTTGTGGTGCCGGCTGGTGTCTGCTGTGAGGCTGTGACCACGCACAGGTGGCAGGGCAAGCGGCGATGCACTGACCTCTCTGCACTGAGCTCTTGTGGTATGGTGCCGAGGTGCAGCCCTGGGTGAGGGGCACGGTGTCGGGTGGGTGGGTTTGTGTTTCCGAAGTCCCGCCGTGATTTCATGCACCGCATCTGCGTCCCCGCCACCTGCATCCCCAGCATCTGCATCCCCAGCACCTGCATCCCTGGTGCTTGCGGCAGCGCTGCCCGATTTACTCCTGCTTCTGCCCCTCGAGTTTGGGTTGTGAGGATGAGTTGGGCTCATCCCAAGCTGCTTGGAAGCGACACCTCCAGCCCCCAGGGGAACCCCAACTCCTCTCCTGGCCCTGGGCAGCCCGATGACAGCCGGGGCAGAGGGCGATGCCTCTTCTCTGGATTTAAAGCCCCCAAAGTTCAGGCTCGGGGGCCAGGAGGCCGCGAGCAGCCACGGAGGAGGCATCGGAGGCAGAGCGCAGAAACGTGGCGTGCATTTTAGAGGCAGAGCGAGAGACATCTCCCGGCCCCTTCCTCCCCCCCCGGTAATTAACGCAAGGGTTCCTCTCCCCGCGGCTGACAGCCGGCAGCGTAATTAGAGTCTAATAAAACACCCCAAAGTCAGAAAGCGCCAGGCGGGGGTGAAACAACAAACAATGGGGGCCGTGGCGAGGCGGGCGCGTGACGGCTGGGTGATGCCGTGGATAAACGGTGTGCACATCGGCACCGTCACGCTCCCGGCAGCCCCAGACAGACAGCTCGAATTAATCCCAGGAGGGCGCGCGTGACAGGCGAGCCAGGCAGACAATTAGGAGGAGGGAGGAAATTGGAAATGGCAAAGGTGTGAACATATGTCAAATTACAACTAAATGATAAATTACAATTCTGTCATTGGAATAAGCGGTAATTAAGAAAGATTTCAGCTAGCCCTCTCGGAGGGGAAAAAAAAAAAAAAAGGAGGAAGAGCAGAAAGCACATTTTTCACCCCCCCATCCTCCCTTCCCCCACCCCCACCCCTGATTTTCTATTTTAATAATATAGCTGGGATGCACTGGGTGTATTGTTTCCATCCATCTCGCACGCTGGGGCTGGTTCATCCCCATCCTCGCGACAGCATTTGTGTACTTAAAGCATAATACCTCGCTCTCCTCCCCATCCCCCAGCGCGACGGTGTCAGAGAGGAGCAGGAGCTGATAGCAACCGATAAAAACCCATACGGAGGCATTAAAAAAAAAAAAAAACA